AAAAATGCAACTCAGATACCTCTTCACACCCCTTCAAGGCCCTCAGCAGCAGGAGTCTCTTCTTGTCCCCAGCTCCTGTCCCTTTTTCTTACCACTTGGGGCGTGGGGCCCCTTGTCACTCCCACATCATTGCTCTAATGTGTGATCAGCACCCAAAGCTCTGAAATTGCAGAGCCAGGGCAGAAAAACACCTTGTGGTTTGAAAGTGTGAGAAAAAAAAAATTAGATAAAGATTAAATTCAAGCATGAGCAAATGTGATCATCAGAAAAGAGGGTCCCAGGGACCCCAGGCACTGCTACGCTCTGAAATGAGACCACGCAGGAAGTCAGGCTGGTGAGGAGCCCCGCACTGCTGAAGGCAGGTTCCTTGTGGAGCTGTTCTTTCCAGTCTCAGGACCTACATTGCCTCAGACGTGACCTGAGAGCCCATGAGTGGGTCTTCTCTGTCTCTCCTTGTAGCTATGATGTCCTATGACTTGAAGAAATGACAGCAGAAGACACTGCTCCAATTAGTTAGAACAGATACTAGCAAGGTGACACATAGAGTCATAGAGGGACCATGCCAGCCACATCAGGGATGGCTCTCTACCCCTAGCAGGAAGGCAGACAGCAGCACAATTGTGGAAGATGCAACAAGGAGCAAGAATGGTTGATGTGGTGTGGTGGTATCACCGACGGTGCCTCACGTGGCCGCTACTGGCCACATCACACTCCGCCTCTCCACAGCCCTGGGTCCTCATGGACCTTGTAGGCCTGAGAGGTCATCCAGCTGGGCACAGGTGGCCCAGTGCTGGGCAAAGGAGAGGCTGAAGGTGGGGTACAAGGATCAAGGTGCTGAGCCCAGAGAAGCAGTGTGACCAGTGCTCAAGCTGTCCCAGCTGTGGGGTCCCAGGGCCTCCCTGGTCCTGAGCTCAGGACCAGGACAGAGGACTTCTATGGGTTCCAGCATCCAGGATATTTAGGGGACTAAGCAGGAGTGGTGGCCCGTGCTCCAGATTAGCCTGTGGACATGGCTGGCTGCAAGTACAAGACCACAGGACCTGGGTCAGCAGGGCTAGAAAGAGGCTGAGCTCCCCTGGGTCGCTCCCAGCCCCTCTCTGTAGCACTACCCCTCCCCCACCAGTTCTCACCTACTTCCTGTCTCCTTCAGGTCCAGTTCCCTAAAACTTTGGAGTTGCCAGCTTGGGCTTCCTGGAATACAGATCTGGAGCCCAGGGTTTTCTCTATTTGCCAGTCTCTTTTCTATGCTGGGTAAACCTGATTTTGTGAATCAGAGAGATGAATGGGAAAGCCCAGCTGAGCTGTAGTCATATTTCTGATTCTCTCTGTGGAGCTTGGGTTGATTAGAATAGTCTGGCTGGAAGGAGAAGATTCAGAACTACCACCTCTTAAGAAGCTGCCTTAGGAGTTAAAATTGCACACATAACACAGTGAAAAGGAGGTTCATAACCAGCCGATGGGGGTCTAGGGAGGTCGCCTGGCTGAGCTGAGGTTGCCTCTTCTGGCTGAGCTCATCCAGAGGTGGCTGGGCTTCTCTCCTTCCCAACCCGCAGTGAAGACTCGAAGTCCGGCCCCCACCTGGGAAGCCCAGCACTCACACCTACCCACCTACCAACAGGGACCCTGTCGCACCTGCCAACAGGTATTTCCTGTGGATTTCCCTTGGATGACAGATTTTAAATTCGAGCCTGCAGAAGGAAATCAAAGTGCTTTGGCCTTCACTAAGTTTCTATCTAAATATCCATGCTCAGAATGGATCTGTGTACTTTAATTTTCTGGAAAACACTTCTTTTTATCACAAATACATCCCCCTTCTTTGATGAAACATTGCTTGATAGGTAGAAACTAGTAACATCAACTGCTGAAATTATTGCGGCTAGAATATTTACTCTATGCTGTTTGTACCATATTTACTAGTCTCCCATGGTCACAGAAAATTCTGGTCCATTTTCTAAAGCCCATGTCTGTGTGTGACTCATTTCTGAATCAGCCTCAGCAAAACACACTTGGGGAAGGGAAAAGTGCTTAAATATGTAAGATCAGAGATGAAATTCCAGAGGATTCCTGTTCATGGTCCCCAGTTCTAGACAAAGCTGAGACAAACCACTGAGAATTGAACCCAGGGCCTTTTCACTGAGCTACATTCTCAACCCATTCTTTTTTATTTTGAAACCATGTCTCACTAAGATGTTAAGTTCCCAGACTGGGCTTAAATGTATGATCCTCCTGCCTCAGCCTCCCAGAGTCCTGGGATTACAGATGTGCCCCAGCAGCCCTAGTGTATAACACCTTTAGAACCTGCTTGCTAATGTTCATCTCCATTAGTCCACATAGTTAAGAGCTGGCTTTATTTAAAGTGTGTTTTGAAACATATAAGTACTGGTAACTTGAGAAGTTCTATTAACCTGCAAAGATTTGGGCCATGCATCCTCCTTCCAGCAACCATACCACAGGCACCGCCATCAGTCACAAAACTTCAACCGCCACCAAAACAGAACGACTTGAAGAAAAGCCAGATGCCACAGTAGGCTGTGTATGCACATGCATTTTCTACAGCCTCTTTCCAGACTCCTCCCACACACTGGCTGGCTTCCCTGGACATCTGCTCGGGGACAGATGTGCCACACCAGCCCACTTCAGAGCCCCAGGTCAGTGCTGTGTGCCTGCTGCACTTCCTGGCCAGAGCCAATGGGGGCAGGCACGTTCCCCTCATGGCACAGAAGGTGCAGGATCCCAGGGCAGGGATGAGGTGTGAAGAAGCTTGTCTGTTTTCATCTCCTTGGGAGACTGTAACATGAGTGGCATGATTGATAGGTACTGAATATTTAAAAGGTAAAATGTGCACGGCAGCAAGGAGAAAGAGAGAAAGTGCACTGAGATAATCTGAGATTAGCACGCAGGTATTAACAATCTTATACCTCGCTCACACGGTGCAAGGTGAAGAATTTCAGCAAATGCAGACACCACTATCTTATTTCAAGCACAGGCTTTATCATGGCTTTGGAAGCAGCGAGGAGGATTAGATGGGGTTTTGCTCTGCCTGTTCTCATCTCAATGAATTCCTCCCTTTCCAAATTCTTCAGGATGTTTCAGGGAGTTTCCTAGGAGAACTCAAGGGGAAACCCATAGACTGGACCTTTGCTGGCTGTGGTTTCATCTTCGACACAACTTGTGACCCACTGTGTGTGTTTGTGTATTTTCAGATCATGACTCATAAAACCGTCTCATGGTTGCTTCTTTGATGCAGTGATCCAGTTATAAAGCATTGCCATGGTTATCTGCAGAGACAGCCCAGACCGATTTTCCCAAGGATGCTTCTCCAGTCATGGCCCATGAGTACAGCAAAGTGCATAAACTGAGAGGAGATTATAACATTTCTGTGTCCAGAAATCCATTACAACAGCATTGGCTCATTTCCTAAAAGATTGAGCCCCAGGCTAGTGGCCCGTGTACATTTGAGATTTACACTGTCGCAATATTTCTGAGTGTGTTTGTTGGCTGTTTTGGTCTTGTTTTGTTTTGCTTTCCCTTTGCTGCTCACTGGGGGTTATGTTTGTCCTTCCAATAAGGACAGTGATGTACAGGGATTTTCCAGAGAGAGACCGCTAGATGAGAAATGCAGGATGGTTAGACAATGGTGCATTTGAGTTGCTGACGTTTGCCAGGCATGCCATTTCTTAACTATTTATTGATGCTGGGTGGGGCAACAAAGATGCTATTTTCCATGATTACTGTACTGAATTCTGAATCTTTTTTCCCTAGCAAAAGTCTTTTCTGCGTAAAATCCATGAAGAAAGCACAATAGAGTCTACCTCTCTGCTTTAGTCAACTATTGTTTTCTCCCAGTCAATAGACTTCATGTCTTTAAATCATGATGAAACGCTAGAAATTCTTCTCAGTCTTAGTGTTCTAATCACGGAAACAAAGCAGAGACATGACAAGAACACAAGGTTGCCCAAATTCAACCTAAGGGGCACATCCATTTATAATCCAATGACCCGTTTACAATTATCAGCACACTATTCCACAGTGTAGATTTACCTAGGATGGTAAATGGAAATACAAATCCCAAATGTCCTTTCTGTGAGATGCACAGGGAATCTCTGATGAAACAGAAGAGTTTTAGGTCATTTTGAGACCTTTTTAAAAAATAGTGTCTCTAAATACTTTTTTGAGATTGAGTACAGTTCATTCATTATTTCTCCCCATTCACTTAAATTTTCCCAAACCCACAAGGCAGAGGAATTGAACACTGCCTATGAAATCAAACGCCATGTTGTCCATGGGAAAGCTACCCTGACTGTTTCCAGTCCTGTCTTACAGACATCTGGCTGCTGAGTACTTTTTCCACCTCTCCACCCTGCAGAGTAGCTCATGAGGTTTACCTTCTGTAGCTTTACTGCGGGATCCCTGGAGATTGTCTCCAAGGTACCAGGCTCCTAACGACTCCTAATTCAGTTCCAGCCTGTGCTTTCCCCGTGGAGCTCTCTACTTAGGCAGCATCCCCACCTGATTCTCCGAAACCTGAAGCTTTCTTCCACGGTGCTTAAGTATGACTGCGAGAAGAACCCATTTCAATGCGATTGCTGTGAACATCTGTTCACGGCTTGGCAAAAGGGAAAGTTCGTGAACTCTCAGAAAGCTCAGCGATAGAGTGGATAGAATTAGCCTGGAAATAAACAAAGCCGAGCTAGACAAAAAGTCAGTTTTAAAATGGAGATGTAAAAATATTTATTTTAACATTATGTTTACCGTATTTTCAGGTTAATGAAAGGAATTCTCGGTGAATAAAATATTTGGGAGCCTCCTGTCTCTGAGGGCAATGCATGTCCTTTGGGTCAACACTTTCAGTCCAGATGTAGAGGTGCCTAAGGGTCTATTCTGGGGCCCACAGGGTGTGACTTGCTGTTAGCTTACTGTCCGTGCTGTTGCAACTAAACTTCCAATTCTAGCCACTCTTTTCTTTTCTTTTCCTTTTGTCTTCTCTATTTTCTTTGCAGAAGACCATCAGATGAATTGTCACAGTACTCGGATCATGCAAGACACAGAAAAGGATGACAACAATAACGACGAGTACGATAACTATGATGAACTGGTGGCCAAGTCATTGCTGAATCTCGGCAAAATCGCCGAGGATGCAGCCTACCGGGCCAGGACGGAGTCAGAGATGAACAGCAACACGTCCCACAGCCTGGAGGACGACAGCGACAAGAACGAAAACCTAGGCCGGAAGAGCGAGTTGAGCCTAGACTTGGACAGTGACGTGGTCCGGGAAACGGTGGATTCCCTCAAACTGCTGGCCCAAGGGCACGGCGTCGTGCTCTCCGAGAATATGGGTGACAGGGGCTACGGGGACAGCGGCATGTCGCAGCAGGACGGCAGGAACATGAACTACGTCATGCTGGGCAAGCCCCTGAACAACGGGTTGGTGGACAAGATGGTGGAGGAGAGCGACGAGGAGGTTTGCCTGAGCAGCCTGGAGTGTCTACGCAACCAGTGCTTCGACCTGGCCAGGAAGCTGAGCGAGACCAACCCGCAGGAGCGCAGCCAGCCGGCCACCATGGGTGTCCGCCAGCACGGCCGGCCGGAGGACGACTTCCCGGGCAGGACGCCCGACAGGAACTACTCAGATATGATGAACCTCATGCGGCTCGAGGAGCAGTTGAGCCCCAGGTCTAGAACGTTCTCCAGCTGTGCAAAGGAGGACGGGTGTCACGAGAGAGATGATGACACCACCTCTGTGAACTCGGACAGGTCCGAGGAGGTGTTTGACATGACCAAGGGCAACCTGACCCTGCTGGAGAAAGCGATTGCTTTGGAAACTGAAAGAGCAAAGGCCATGAGGGAGAAGATGGCCATGGATGCCGGGAGGAGGGACAATGTGAGGTCATACGAGGATCAGTCTCCGAGACAGCTTCCCGGGGAGGACAGGAAGCCTAAATCGAGTGACAGCCATGTCAAAAAGCCATACTATGGTAAAGGTAATATTTCTACCTAACGTAAGTTGCCTCATGAAAGCATGGGCCTCGTAAAATATGTTGCTGATAGCCTGCAACTAAAATATGAGTCCCACTAAAATTTGATCTCTGATGCAAATCTCTAGAGTCGGTTCAGAATTCCATTTTGTGACGATGTTTCTGCAGAGCTAATAAATGTGTGTCTGAGAAATACATAAAGCAGCTCAATGTCCTATTATTAGAGCAGATGACTGCTATGCCATTTAGCAGGAAAACTCATTTTCCTTGAAAAGGCAGAGCCAGGGCACCAATATGTGCAGAAAATATTAGAGCGAACCTGCACTGTTCCAAGTGAACCGTACTGGGTACTGGACAGAAAAGATTTAGGCCACCTTTAGAAGGTGAGAGCTGAAAGCATTTGCTCCATCAATTGGATTGAGTAGGTGACATCATGATTTATAAAATGATCATCCAGCAATAGTTATTGTTGAAACAGCCCCCATAGCAAACACCCCCCCCCAATAGGAATTGACCAGCAGCAGATGACCGATGACATAAAATAAGGCCAGCGACAGCACATTAATTATCTAAGATAGTCAGGTAATGGAAACATTTGCTATGCAAAGCGTGACACTGTCTCAGCTGCAATCAATAGCAATTTCTGTAGTGTGTTCCCCATTCCTTCCTTGCATTGTGGAAGCAGTGATGGTCCCTTTCTCAACATGATTCGTTCTAGAACACCCAAAACTATACCAGGTGATAGCTTTCACTCAGTTTTCCTTGATGAAATTTGTGGGCATGTGTCTGCCTATACCTGTCTATTTACCTCTATGCATGTATATTATGCATTTATATATAGTAATGTGTCATAGACATACCCCAACCTCAATGAATAACTTGGTGTTTGCGGCACAGACTTTGTGTTTGTGTTTCCTCCTGCGTGAGGAAGTTCAGGATGCAACTTGGCTTAGCAGCCCAGCTCTGCCAACACCTCGCTCACAAGTTTCTTTCAGAACTGAGCCAGTTGCAGTCTCAAGAATGACACTGGCAGATCCTTACCTCCTTCTGTATCAGCACCAGAAAAGATCTTGTTTTCTGCTTCTCATTTTATCCTCCCCTTATGAGAAGGCTGAATTACATACACCACTGCAGATGCAGGAAGGAGGTGGAGGAAGTTAGTTTGAAAAGCGGGTGCTGTGTAAAGCTCAAATGATGAGAACCACAGCGCTTTTCTGCTGTGACATGGGTATGGACTCTCCTCTCAATGTATGCACATCACATCTATGGCAAGGCAGGCACTGTTATCCCCAAAGCCAAACCAAGGATGAACCCTGGCCAGAGCTCCATAGAGAACTGGTTAGCGGATGTCTGGGTGTTCATAGCCTCATCAGCCACTGAGGTGGACAGTAGGCCACTGAAGGCATGGGATAGGAGAAAAGGACTTTTTGGTTTTTTAAGGAAATAGATTCTGTAGATCAGTGGAAATTTCAGGTTTGCTTTGGACATTTTAAGGTCTATGATAATTAGCACATACATATTAAATTACAGAGGTGCCGTTGTTACCAGAGTGTGCTCAGCCAATCTATTAGAAGGGTTTAGTTGGATGGTTGAGGCTCATTCAAAAGGCAAGCGTTTTTAGGAAGAAACAGTGCCCTTAGCTCCAGTGCCTGCTTGGTCGTGTGCATGGATCTAGGCTTACGCATTAGGGTGACATTTTGGTGATTCTCTGAGTGGAGCTCCAACGTGGAGAGCTGGCATGTTACTCTGTGTGGTTGTGGAAGTTGATTCGGCTTACACATTCTGCGTCACCATGGCTTCTTTAGTTCCTATAAATTCAGCTGCTTGTTGCAAATCTGAACTCTTTTTGTTGTGGTGGTGCTTGGCTTTTTTTTTTTCAAGAATGCAATTCAAACCACTGACTTCCCCTGAATATATGGAGGACATACACAACTGAGATGTGATTTATTCCTGAATTTTTTCCCTCAAAGTTGAAGACACTGATTTCTGCTTCTTCCAGTTTTTCCAGATTTCTACCTCTGACCGAAGTTATGTTCATTTTCTATCAACATTTTCAGTATCATTCCAAGTTTCTTTTGAATGTGTCTGTAGTTATATTCAGAAACAAATAAATAAAGCTGGACAAGGCCAAGAAAGCAGAACCAAGAGGCTAAGGCTCCCTTTTCAAAGGAAAAAAAATCATCTGTTCATATCTCGTCCTATAACCAAGGGACAATTCCTGCACCCACCCAGCATGTCACCCTTCTCATTACAGGTGACAAAACAGGGCTGGAGATGTAACTCCATGATGTAGTGCTTTTCAGGAAATTCAGGATTTCATGCATCAAGAGGAGACCTTACCTGTCTGTGTTAGCTTCCAACACCTGAAGTATTTTTGAGTCACATTGTTTTTCTAAAAATCTGTACATTTCCCAAAACATTTGCAGAATCTATGAACACTATATAATTTGGGAGAAATTGTAAATGTCCTGTTGAAATAATCATGGCTAATAAGAATCATAACTTCACATTTTTACCTGTGGCAACTCCTGTGCATGTAGTTTCACGTCTCTTCTCTCTAGTTTGTGACTTTCAAGTGATTGGTACTTTCCTTTGAAACTGTTACTTTGCACTTTCTACTCTAGATTTACATTGCTTGGATTATACCAGTGCGATTAGGAAATTACTCAGTAGGTAGCAAAATGCTAGACTTCCCACTTGCATGCATAAGAGAGACCCCCCCAAAGATGATTAGACACTGAGGTCACACCACATACTTTTGGATTTGCGACAGTGACTTTGGCCCTGTGACTCACCCACAGTGGCCCAGAGAGTGAATGGCAGTGGTGTGAAGGACGTGTGCCTGAGAGAACGTGCCCTGCCTCGGGAGACACCTGCACGTGACACATGACAGGCACACTGTGTAGAATAAAAGGAGAAGGAAAGTGTCTTTTATAGGAACATAACAACATTTATAAATCTTTGTGGGTCCTTGTCTACTTCAAGTTCACATAAATGACTTGAGAAGAAAGTCCGTGAGAGTTCAAACATTTCAATACCAAACTTTGTTTCTTGCTGTCAGTGAATTCTCAGCCAACAGTAAAACATGCGTTTTCTAACAATCATGATTGGCTTGATGAATGAGATTATCCATGTAAAAAGAATTAAACCGCTAAAGAAAAGTTAACTCTTGCATTCTGGACTGAATGACAGTAGCTTCCTCATCTCCTGGTAACCTGAGCAACTGGTTTTCAAACTGGCTCAGAAACATAGGTTGTGCTTAGATTGACTCTTTGGTCTGAGAGTGACCTCAAGAATACTTTCTGGAGTTTTCCTATGGTACCATTATGAACTGGGTCAATTCTGGGTGTAGAATTAATTTTATTAGCCATGTCATTACATTTCTGGCATCTAGCATTGAAATACGGAACAAATGTCTGCTTTAATCAGCCCTCCACTGGTACTGCCTAGAAGCCGGCAGGGCTCTAGAAAAGCACTACCTCTTAATTGGATGTGTGCATGCCCAGCATTACACGAGCTTTCCTCGGGTTCCAAGTACAGACGAAGAAATCAAAACAAATGGTTGCTCCAGCGGCTTCTGAAGCATTTTCGAATGCCCATCACCCTGCCAGGTGGGAGTCCACCCTCTCGGTCATCTGCTTACAGTGCCTTCTGAGAGTTCAGCTTATTTTCTGTGAAGTGCTGAATTGCAATGCTAAGAGCCAGGGTTGTTTAACTCCAAGAGCAAAGTTCAATGCCAGTCAAATTTTGTGAGCTTGTAGTATTTACAACCAGAGCTCTCAATAAGGAGAAATCCAGCTGAAGAGCCTGGGAGAGGGGATCACTCTCAGGTTGAATTTCACAGAGAAATTGCGGAGTGATCACCACATAGAGTTTTGATCTCTGAGAAGGCCACTGCCCATCATCGTTGACATTGATTTCTTTGGGCAACATAGCTTATCATGTAACACACGGGAAGCCAGTTAACCAAGAGTTAAGGTTAGGGGGAGATGTTTTGGGGTTTGGGGTTTTTTTTATTTTTATTGTCTTTTTACTTTAGGATAAAAACAAATACTTTCTGATTCCTGTGACATTGTATATAAGGTTGAAAAAGTCACCTCCCTACCTAAAAAAGTACCTCCACAAAATTCTCCTGTCCCTGCCTGTCCCCTGACACCTACTTTATTTCTTTCTAGAGCAAAGGTTTCTTCTGATTGTTGAAATGATCACATTTGTCTTCAGCTGGTAAACATTCATTCTCTTGGCAACTGTTGTCACTTTTAGATCCCTCAAGAACAGAAAAGAAAGAGAGCAAGTGTCCAACCCCCGGGTGTGATGGAACCGGCCATGTGACCGGGCTGTACCCGCATCACCGCAGTCTGTCCGGATGCCCGCACAAAGATAGGGTCCCTCCAGAAAGTAAGTCCACCTCGGGAGTGCGGCCCTGTGGGTGTGTCTGTGTCATCCCTCTTACCTGACTTCATTTTCCATCGTGCAGCCCCTCCCACCCGTGACAGCCAGCTCCCCGGGAAGCAGGGAGCTCTGCTCACCTTCCCCACCCCATGATTTCTGGGGACCCTGAAGGCCATCTCCCTGCAGCAAGATTCCCAGACCCCTCCGGGTCCTATCCCGACCTCAGTCCTGCTTGATCTGTGACCTCAGGCAGGCCCCATCTGTCCTCACAAACTGCAGAATCTAACTACACAGGCTTTAAGATCCCGCCCAGCACTGACCCGCTGTGATCCCCAAGGGAAGGGACCCTGATACACATGGTGCCCAAATATCTGGATTCCTATGTCTCATCCCATGAGCGTCACAGGGGTCTGGCTCCACTTCTTGAGGAAAATCTGTTTATGTCACTAGGGGTCCCCCATTTCCACGCTAGAGACTCTTTACATAAGTAGGTTGAAATCAGGAGGTTTTGGTCTTACACATTCTTTTTCATACTTATGTTCCAATCAAATCAAATGAATCTAAGGGGGGAAAAAGAGAAATTCTTGTGGAACAGAAATGATACACACCTTTTTTGTTGTGTGTCTTTCTTTTGGCAATAAAATATGCCAATGACATGTTGTCACTTAGAAATGGCAGCTCAGAAAAACAGCATATTTTCAAAAATGAGCAAGTTTTAAGATGCTGGTTTGGAGGCCTGAGGCACCTGGAGGCATTTCCTCTTATCTGAGACAGTTCCCAGCGGGAGATACAGATAGCCTGCAACATGGCCAGATGACCATTTGGTGATCAAGAACTCTCACTGACCATCCCATTCAAATGGGGGAAATTCTTGAGAAGCCAATCTCAGTTAGAGCAGAGAACATTCTTGGCAGAATGGGAGGCGTAGGAAGCAAGCCTGCTGAGCACCCTTGGGTGAAACACTTTCAGAAGCAAACGGGCTCCAAGTTTCTAAAAAGAAAGTCTAATGAGCTCGGCTTCCTGTCTCTGTCCTCAGAACAAACCGGAAGCATTGTGCAAATGAACATACTCATGTGTGGCCACAATCCCGTGTGTTACATGAGCAAGGAGGCAGCATGGTTTACCGCGGCAGCTTCCACGTGCTGAGCACACACTTGGGTCAGAGCTTGGCTCGTGCCCGCAAGCACTAACCCACCCAGGTGCCCGTTACCCTGCACGGTAACATGGGCCCCGCTTTCCGGGAGAAGGAAACGGGGAGCAGGGACTCCTCCTCCTTCTCTTCCAGGGATCAGCACTGCGGCTGGCAAACTGGGGGCGCTGGTGTTTTTCCAGGGACTCTGAGCAGGTATTGACTGGCCTAAGCGATTGCTGAGCTGAGCTGTGACACCAGACCTGACTCCTGGGCCCACGGATCCCCGCTGAAACCTGGCTGGGCCTGGCTCTCCCTTGGTCCTGACAAGCTGTGTACCCACAGGCATCTGCACGTGCTCTGAACTTTGCATCTGCCATCTATAAAGGGAGGTGCTAAGGCTGACATCTAGTGCCTTTAAGAAGAAAGTTTTTTCCAGGCATGGTGCCACGCACCTATGAATCTCAGCATTCTGGGAGACTGAGACCAGAGGATGGTAAATTGGAGCCCAGCCTGGACAATTTAGTGACTTTGTGAGACCCTGCTTCAAAATGAAAAAGGGCTGGAGGAGTAGCTCGGTGCAAAGGCCCTGGGTCCAATCCCCGTACACTTCCAGAAGGAAGGAAGGAGACAGACAGATAGACAGACAGGAGTTTTATTTTCTTCAGTTTGTATATTTTCATCTTAAAGGGTGAGGAATTCTCGTGACTTTGTATTATCACAGGAAAAGCCCAAATGTAGAGGAAAGCTGGGCTGTATTCTGATAAGTGACAGATCACACCTCTCCCCACCCTGGGGAGACCACACATAGTGTCACCTTAGCAGTAGGGCAGGATGTGGGATTCCCACCTAGGACCACTCACCCCATCTTACAAACACTCCAGTGCCTCTAAAACAAACAATAGCAAACATAAAAAGAAGTGGTTCTGAGGATTCCCTCATGGATCACCCTTTATTACTATATTTAAAAAAAGGAAAAATTCCACAGTGGGCATTTTGGTTCTGGTTTTCCTGGACTGGACCCCAGCCCATCCTTCTGTCCTGCTGAGTCCTGGGCAGGGGTCCTCTGCACAGGCAGGACCAGGGATCAGATGTGGTCTGGTCCTCAGTGAATCCCCTGGCCCAGCTGGTGGCTGTGCAGCATTGGGGTCACATAGTAGTACCCTGGTCCCTGGGCCACACTCCAGCCTCCCTGTGTGACAGAGAGGCATCTAGAGGTTGTGGCTGGAGAGGCCAGCAGCTGTGGAAGGAGATGGGACAGAGCTCAAGGGTATTTTAGAGAACATTCCCAGAAGCATCCAGAGGGAGGGTAGAGGAACATCAGGGATGGAGAGACAGGAAGCCAAGAAGCAGGCCACTGTCACGGGGAACAGTGGGACGCATCTGTCTGCCTGGCTCAGCCACACACAGGAAAGTGATGCACAAGGTCCACAGAGACCCGCTGAGGTCCCTGTGCCTGCCCATCAGAGCCCGCTGTGGGCCCTGCAGGGGAGATGCCAGAGGAGTAGGGCAGCCTTGATGCCGCTCCACAGGAGCCTGAGACCCAGGCTTGAGACTGATCCTGCAGAGGCAGCATGGAGACAGGGAAGCAGCTCTGTCCCAGTGTGGATGCTCAGGGTCCGCCTCTCCACATAGCAGGAGACAGCCGCTCCCCAGCCCCACTTGGGGTCCCATAAGATCTCTAGAGCCAAGCCCAGAAGGGGTTTGCTATCACAGGAGAGACTGTGTCCAAAAAGCAGAGCATAGAGGGAAAGGAAAGATTGCGTAGATGGAGAAGAGGTGCAGTGTCAGAGGAAGGACGACAGGAAAAGAGCAAAGAGTGAAAAATGAGCAAAGCAGGGTCATCAGAAACCCCACAGAGGGAGAGAGAAGACTGCAGACTGGGGAGCTGGCCCAAAAGAGAGGGGTGCTTCTTCCCTGAGACGGACTAGTGCCTCAGTTTACCCCTGTGACCCCTCCCCAGGCCCCACCCCCACAAAAAGAGCTGCAGGGAGACTTCGTTGTTCTGATCACTATTTATTAAAAATCGGCCATCTCTAAGAACAAAGCAGGAGCTATGAGAGGTCTAAGGATAAAAGCAAGTCTAGCCTGGAGATGCACACCTGTAATCCCAGCACTCTGGGAGGCTGATGCAGGAGGATACCATGTTCCTGCCCAGCCTAGGCAACTCATTGACAGAGCAAGACCCTGTCTCAAAACCAAATTTTAAAAAAGAAAGCTAAAAGAGAAAACCAAAATAGACTCTTCTCTTAAGACACTGACCAGTGGTGAGGCTGTTCTGTGTGAACCGCGGTGATGGGAGCAGCGTGTGCATGGGGCCTGCAGAGGTCGGGGGCAGAGAGATGGCTGGAGAAAGGCAGAGCAGTAACAGGAAATAGATGTCCCGAGAGTGGCAGACTTGGCGTGGAGCATTTCCCTGATCACCTGGCCTTAGGCACACCTTGCCAGCAGGGATTGTGGCCACTGGTGGCCTCCAGAGTCTGCAGCCAGCCCACTCAGCAGAGTGGAGCACCCTGCTGGTGGGGCCGGCACTGGGTCCGCTGTCTCCCAGGACTTCTGCCCCAAAGGCTCGCTGATCCAGAGTAGCAAGTAGACACGAGTACACCAGGACATCCTGGCACAGCTGGTCAGTTCCCACCACTGCCCCCCAAGGACAGCAGGCAGTGATTTCAGGCTGCAGAGACAGTCCCTGCTGTCTACCCCCACACACACACCTTGTTGATTTTCTGAAAGAAAATGCAGAGCTCACACCGCTCCAGCTCCTACCTAGAGCAGAATAAAGCGTTTCCTAAATGTAAAATCATCTTAGTGCAGTTCATGTACAAATAAGGTTTGGGCTTTCCGTTAGCACCTGCTCACCACACTTTCCTACCACTGTGTGTTCTCACAGTGTTTTTGAGACACCACTAATCGGTGTCCGGGGCTGGAACACTCGGGAGGCCTTGCCTGCCTGGCCCGCGTGGACCTACCCGGCTCTGGTGAACTCTGTGACACCCACACCCCCTCCCAGCACACCCCACTTAGCATGCTGATCAGAGTGTGATGGAACCAGCCTTCTCTGCCTCCCCACGTGTGTCTTCCTGACCATACCCATCCCAGATGTTCGTAGGACTGTGTCTGTCGTGAACGCACCCAGCCTCTGTCGAGATGATTGCAGATTCTTTTGTGCTGACCACTTCTCCATTGTAACGCTGGGATGTTTTCTTTGCCTCTCCTTGTCAAGTTCTTGCCATGCATGAAAATGTTCTCAAGTGTCCCACTCCAGGCTGCACAGGGCGAGGGCATGTGAATAGCAACAGAAACTCTCACCGAAGGTAAGCAACACTCCACTGGTTGCCACCCACCCCACGGGACCCCCTCGTTGCCCATGGAGATAGATAACCTCCGCATATTACACCTAAGGGATTTAGAGTGCAGCCACGTAGTATGGGGAGGTCAAGGTTTAGATGCCCTTTTTGTGCATTAGACTTCCTTGGTCATATCCCTGGCTCTGTCATAAGGGGGTCACTGCCCCTCTTGGGGCACCGTGCTGGGTGCAGATCTCAGTTAGAACCTGGGACCACTTACAAGAACTGGGCCATCTTCCTCCAGGGCAGAAGGGGCCACGCTGCTCTGATATGTAGATGCATGGCCAGAATCCTAGAAGTGTGTCTGCCCTTGACTATCGAATCCCCAGGCTACCAGGATGGACATTGCTAAAATACTAGCAGGTGTCCCAAAGTGCCGGTCAGGCCTGATTTGGGATCACTTTTACTGAGCTACTGCTGTCCACACACATGTTCAGAATCACTCTTGGGATCATGACAAATCCCGGTTCTCTCTCCCTGTCCACTTCAGCCGTAGGAGAGACACTGTGTTCCTCCTCATATGCAGTTCCTATCAGATGCCCTTTTTTGGTAGCAGAAAAGTGATTCTGTTAACATTGGTCCTGTAGTGTATGGTTTCAGCTTCTTGCCAAATTTTATGTAAACAGAGAAAAGAGTACAGTTAGATTTTAATTTGGAGGGGTGGGGGGAGTTGGTCAACCAGATTTCTTGGGTTAGATGTAGAATGAAACCATTCGCATCCCTGGGTCCCTGTGAGGTCTTCAGATGCTTCAAGCGCAGAGGCAGGAAACCACAGAGCTGGGGCTACTCGCTCCGCTGCTTCTCGGAGCCGCAGCTCCGCAGTGCATCTCTGAGCAGCGACTGTGCGCGTGGGCTCCTGCTCCTGGGCCAGCCCAGAACTCCACGAGGACACAGCTCACACACAAAAGCCCTCATCCGAGGTAGGGCCCAACCTCAACCCTTTAGTTTCACACACACACATACACACACAAATCACACACATTTCCCTGCAACCCTGGAGATGAGTCCACATCCTGCCCCCACTCGCATTTCCCTTCTTGTGGACGACGCCAGGGCACTGGGGTGGGACGGCCCCGCCGAGTCCTGCAGGTCCATAAGTCCGCAGAATCGACTTCGAGCGCCATCTTCCGGTGCCAGGCGCTCATTACCATTCTGGGGCTCAGGCCTCCTCTCCAGAATCACAAACAAATCAGAATGGAATCAATCTCTCGCTCCCTCGCCAACCCCCTCTGCCTCCCATCTCCCACCTCCCTATTCCCCCCTCTTACCCTGCCCCCCATCCCTCCCCCGCCCCTCCCCTTCCCTCTCCCTCTCTGAAACTTTAACTGGCTTATGTCCTCCTGAACACATGCGATGTGACTTGTTCTTATACATGGTGTTGTCCTCAACACTTCCTGATGGAAACTAAGACAGAAACAGGGTGCTTCCGCTCCACTCACTTGTCTGGATGCCCTGCTCGGGTTTGGGAAGCCCTGCCCAGCTGATGGAGGGAAGGAGGTGTTGGCTGAGTGTCTGCATCAGAGTCATCGGAGACCAGACACTAAGGTCCTTTCTGTGATTGCAGCCTCTCTGGATGCCCTATTGCTGCAGCAGAGAAACTGGCAAAAGCGCAAGAAAAACACCAGAGCTGTGATGTATCTAAGTCCAACCAGGCCTCGGACCGCGTCCTCAGGTACCAAACCGGGCATGCTTTGGTGGGGGTCCACTCGTCATCGCCCCAGACACACCTTGGTGCTTTGGGCGGTCTGGGAGGTGGCCGAGCCCACCGAGGGACAGAGGGACAGAGGCAGCTGTGTGTGAGCCCTGGGCCAACTCTCCACCCTGTCGCCCGGTGCCCAGTGCAGAGTTCGCCTGAGGGAAGCAGTAGGGCAAGACTGTCTGGTTTCCTCTCCAACCTGAGAATTCATAATTCTGTGAACAGCAGATGCAGGAGCAGGGCAAATTCATCAGACGTCCCGAAACATTTAATGGGAGTTTGCAGGGGGTGACTCTGCCCTCAGGACGGGCTGCTGTGTTGAGAAGGGTCATGGTGACGAGGGCCAGCTTGCACCCATAAGGGAGCTGCCCCCGGGTTTCACCCTCCAGCACCCCAGGACACAGACAGAAGTAGATGTCACCACTGTCATTTGACACATGGGGTCCTGTGACTCACTAGGAACCACTTAGTCACAGCAGAGGGAAGCAGTCTCAGGGCCAGTGGCTGAACTCAGTATTTATATATTTTTCACTTTTTGTTTTTGAAATATGAGGGTCTTCCCACTGAGCCACATCCCCAGCCCTTTTTTATTTCTTTTAATTCTGAGACAGAGTCTCACTAAATCAGTAAATTGCCAATGCTGTGCTTGAACTCGCAATGATCCTCCTGCCTCAGCCTCCCAGAGTCCTGAGAATACAGGTGTGTCCACCATGCTTGGGTGAACAATGGGTTTTTTGAGGTTTGGAAAAGCAAGACTACTAGGGTATGTGGCGGAGAAGGGCATTCATACTCCCGTAACGTGTTCATACTCAGTGACGTGCATATTCCTGCAAATCACTGTCACCAGGCACACGCTGCATTCAGTCTTTTTATCTAGTGTCCTGGTCCCCTATACCCAACCTCCACAACCACCAGCAGAGCCACACATATACCACACATCTACACATACACATATATATATGCACATATGTTCAGGGCTGGGTTTGTGCCTTTTACAGTTAATAAGTAGACATTCTCCATAGATACAGCATTTGGCTTTGGCTAAATTGCTTCTTTGGGGTAAATCACATGAAAAAATGCACTAGGAAAACAATATATATAGTATGACTATACATGAATATATAATATTCATATTTATGTATATCCTTTGGATTCCCGTGTATTATTTCACAGTTTTCTTATAGGATCTTAACACACCAATTAAATTTCTTTCTCTTCCAATAGAAAAGGCAAAATACCTTTAGAAAACTGCAACTATCTAGTGGACCAGAAATAAAATAGAAACATCTACAGTCCTGCCATTCTGAAAGAACCCCCTGCCATTGATTTTTCTGTGGGTGCGTGTCAATAGTTTGCAGTACCTGGGTGTACCTGTCTCCTAGCTTTTCCTTAGCTGTAGCTGATTTGTTTCACAAACCTTCAGACTGACATCAAGGTTCCAGCACTTTCCTTGTCTCCTCCCAACCGACAGTTAGCTATGGGTAGCGTGGAGAAAACCCCTCCCTCCCACTGAATACCCCCAGAATGGTCATTGGCCAGAGAAAAGTTTGAAAGAAGGTGAGGAAGCATTAGCTGAAAGAACTTACTAGTTTTCTTTTGCCTACTTTGGCCAAAACAGAAGCACCCCATGTGTGGCCCATTCAGGAGTCCCCAGGAACAGGCATGGATCAGTACTGAGCTTGGACTTCATTGGGAAGCTGGTGGCAGCTTGTGACTGAGGAGCTGGCCCTGTACTGTAAATGTCACCTTGTTTGAACCCTAGACTCCACTCAGGTACCTGACCCAGAGCAGCTGCCTCTCTCTTGAATCTGTGGCTTTGTCCCCATGGCAGATGCACCGGGAAACTACACCAACACCAGTGATACCTGCATGTGTGAACAGTTACTTTTCTAAGCCTCTGGCTGGCTGGGACAGGGTCCTCAATAGAAAAAGAAAGACCCAGCCCCACTGCCCCGGGACCTAGGCAGAGCCCGTGACCAGCCTCAGGCTCGCCTAGGAGGCACTGGACGCCCGGGCAGGTGCTGGCCTTGCTCTTAGGGCTCTAGCAAGCTCTACACCCCCAGAGGTATGGTCTTTGGAGGATGGTGGTCTGTCCCAGCACTTCTGTGTCCTCCCTTATCTCATCCAATAACATGAGACAGGAAAAAAGAAAATCACACCTATGGTTATTAAACTGGTTAAGGTTTTCCAAAAAAATCCTTCAGTAATTTGTCCAGCAGGAAGCTAAGAACCAAGAAGAGCCTGGGGTCCTACAGCTCCGTAGGCCACATTCGTGCAGCCTCTCTCTCCCTGCTGCAGTTTATGCCCCACCCCACCCCACCCCGACTTCCACCATGACTTTGGCTTCCAAGTGACCAAGCCAGTGCCCTAGACCCAAGCCAGTCTGAGCTCCCACACCCAGAGGTGCTCTTAGCTTCCTGGTCTCTCCCCTTTTGACTCTGCAGCTTCTTTCCCACAGCGGGTCTCACCCCTGCCCTGGGTTCATGTTTAGTATTTGTTTACCTGGTCTGCACTTTTCCCCACCACTTGTATCTGGGTCGCACTCTTGATGACTCCCCGGGAGTCCTTGGAACACTTGTTCTCCAAATATCCTCCACTCCTCCCTGACCCAAGGCCACAGCCTTGTTCATGTGTACACCCACTTTGCCATAAATGCCTCCAAGACAGACAGACAAGCAACTGTCACATCATTCTATTGCTTCATCCAGAAGTGAATAGGGTACATTAATGAAGTTTAAATAAGTAGGCTACGAATTTGATATTATAAAGGTGGCATAGATGTGCCCCTAGAAAGAGAAAGACCCAGCCCCCACGGATGACTGACTCTCCCATTTGAAAGATTCAGTTATAAGCCTGGTGTGTTGGCACACACCTGTCGTCCCAGCACTCAGGAGGCTGAGACAGGAGAATCACTGCAAGTTTGAGATTAACCTGAGCTACGTAGTAAGTTCAAGGCCAGCTTCAACTATACAGGGAGTCTGTGTTTCCAAAAATAAATAAATAAACATAATTCAGCTATAAAAATTTTGCAACTGCTCAAAAAAACTTATAAAATATACAAGTATAAACTTATAAAATAGCCAGCAAAGAAATAGATTGTGTACATAAATGTATATTGTTATAATTTATAGAATTTTAAAAATTATGAAAGAGAATAGTTTAGTATCACATTCACAGATTTAATATCACACTGTTATTAAACCGTAAGCAACAAAAAGTAAAATTAAATGTTATGTATGTAAATTGTAAAATACGTAAAAATTTTAATTCTATTTACATAAATAATAAATGCATTAAAGTAACCAGAAAAGAAACTCCAAAATCTTAGCAGCTTTTAATCTCAGAAAAAAATAGGGGTGATTTTTAATAGTTTTCATATTGTCTTCTAGCTTTAAGTAAAGCAAGCATTACTTTGATAATCATAAAAAGCAAAACAATCATTTTAAAGCTTTTATGCCCAGGGTGGGTATGGACAGTCTGTGTGTTCAGAGATGCACAGAAAAAATGCATTTACCCAGATTTGCAGCAGTCCCAGAGGAAAATGACTTTGGGAAGGAACAGTCTGGATCCTCCAGGGTCACCGCCTTGGGGTCCCCAGGCAGGATGGACCTTAGACCTCCTGCTCCACAGTACCCAGCACACTACGGGGATCCTACTTGGCTTCAATCCCTCCCTTGTTCTCAAGGCACAGCAGGGTGTCCGGATCAGGTACCACTGATCAAGAAATAGGATCTCACTGGATGTGGTAGCACAAGCCTGTCATCCTTTCACTCGGGGAGGCTGAGGCAGGAGGATGATAAGTTCGAACCCAGCCTGGGCAACTTAGTGACCTAGCAGAGCCTGTCTCAAAAAAGAAAAAAGTGATGTAGCTCAGTGGAAAGGTCCTGGGTTTAATCTCCAACGCATCAAAAACAGTGCAAAAAGATAAAGAAACAGAATCTTACTCAAAAAGGATCTGTCTTTCACAAATGGACCATGAGCCCATCTCTTGTGCCTGGGTTCACACATGCAGTTTTTCAGTCTTTGTTTATTTTTAATAAATCTTGTATACTTCATAAAGAGAGAATTATGAGGCTGTCCTTGAACTTCAGGTGTTTTTTTTTTTTTTTTTGGTAGTAGTTACAGTGTTTTTAAGAAAGGACGCTTATAAAAAATTTTTTGAAAAAGAAAGGATGATTATGTGAAGACACAAGCATTTTTCTGCACATTTTTCCTTGCAAAAGTTAACAGTGAGTAAGCGGCCCACAGAATCCATATTTAAAGAGCCATCTGTATCTGAGCTACCAAACAGAAGATGGGGAAAAGGGAACCCTCAGCACGACTTCTAAATCTACAGCGATTTCAGAGGAAAACTCTTAGGAATGGTGCTCCCAGGAAGCCGGGAAGGAAAAATCCAGGGCTCCTCTATTTTAACATTGTATCCTAAAGTGTAAACCAAATGGCTAGTAGGTAAAAATATGGGAAGCAAATACAAATACATGGCAAAATGCTTTCCTACCATCCCATGTTAGAGCCCGGCCAGATAAACCATGGTACGCTTTTGTCCCTCTGTGTCCCTAAGATTATTTCTCTATTGCTTGGTTCTCTATTATTGCTGCTATTTTCAGTATGAATGATTGAACCCAGGGCCTTCGCACTGAGCTGCTTTCCCAACCTTGCCCCTGACTTTTTTTCTTTGTTATTTTGAGGTGGGGTCTCACTAAATTGCTAAATTACTCAGGTTGGGCTTAAATTTGAGATCCTCCTGCCTCAGCCTCCTAGAGTGGCAGGATGACAGCTGTGCCGCACCCAGGCAAGGCACATTTCTATTTAGCTCACGTTATTTGCGTGTGATTCTGTAAACCTCTATAACCAGTGCAAAGAGAATACCTGGCTCTCCGAGTCTCTCCAAGCTTGGCTCTTCTGTTGCCATGAGGCCCACTATTTCCTTTAGGAGACAGGGAAAGAAAGAGGTGTATTTGAAGTACTTGTGTCTCGTTTTTTTCACCTCCAATGGTGGTTGTGGGCTATAAAATGCAAGCACGTTTGGTCTTGTCTCAGAAAAAGGAAGGTGTTTCGGTGAAAGGTCCTGATGTCTCGGCACACTTAAGAACCCGGTGTGCTGGTGTGGACATGCATCACACTGGGTGTACCGTGGGAGGGTGGGGCAAGCCATTGTTCGCTATCTCGTCTGTTCCAGGCCAATGTGCTTTGTGAAGCAGCTGGAAATTCCCCAGTACGGCTACAGAAACAACGTCCCCACCACCACGCCGCGCTCCAACCTGGCCAAAGAGCTTGAGAAATACTCCAAGACTTCCTTCGAGTACAACAGCTTCGACAGCCACACTTATGGCAAGAGAGCCATAGCTCCCAAGGTGCAAACCAGGGACATGTCCCCCAAAGGATATGATGACGGTAGGAGGTGCATACTCTTATACATGAGACACAGTTCCGTTCATGTTGTTATTGTGTCGATGCGTGTCCCGCACACCGGCCCAGCATGCGGGGCCACGCGGGGTAGGTGGATGGGGAGGTGGGGACAGTGCTCTGCGTTGATGTCCAAGCGACCCATACATTCTGGCTGCGTTGGAGGCATGGATTGAAGCCATCAGCTCACTATGCACTGTGAGCAGGGGAGACAATGGCCTCCTCTTTGTAATTTCAGGGAAAGCAGTTCTGGGTTCTCGTAATAAGTCCGCAGCGCACACCTCTGTTCCCCTGGGGTGCATGTTGGAATCACCTGGGAGATGGTTTTTCTCACACCTGAACACCCAGGCTGCACCCACACAGACCAAGCGGGGACTTTTGGGGCATCCCCACTAAGACGTTTCCAGTGGCTCTGCTGCACGGCCTGGGTCTGTACCTATACCTGGCCGGCCTCTGTGCAAGCCAGGACCTAGGAACCTCCCTATCTGGGAAGAGAGGAGAGAAAAGACCCACCAGGTATGCAGCCACCTGGCTCTGGTGTCACCAGGTCCCTTGCTACTGTCCCAATACAGATGCAGCAAGTAACCTTCCACTTGGTGCCCAGGACAAAGTGGCCACTTTCCCCTTCAGCCCCTCTTGGTCCACTGCTAGGTGTAAATAGTGACACTCATCCCTCAGCTAACTTGATGAGTAGTTTATCACCAGGGCAAAGACTGTGTTTACCTCATCCCATGGCTGCTTCAGCTTCCAGGGTAGATAGGTATACATTTGGCCACCAAATTCTATCTGTTAGACTTGAGGTTTGAAAAATTCGTATGATCTAAAAGTTGAATCTTAATGCAGAAGGAAAGAGATTAGTTTTAGAGATTTTAGGAGCTCCTCTCTGAAAAAAGCTATTTCATTAAAATCACATGCATACACATGAAAAAATATATATCTAAACTGAATGCTTAGGAAATTCAAAAGGCTTTCAGGATTCCACAGGAACTGTAGGCCTCCCTGAGCTGTGTTACTTCTGTCTAATAACAATTCGTTTTGTATAGTGAATGTAATTTATTATTTCTTTGGTGTGTCACATATTGATCGTCCTTGTGTATCAATTCTTGGATATTCAGAAGCATAGGGTGGACAAAGAGGAATGGCTGTAGGATATAATAGAAATGATTACTTTTCTCTTATTTGGCTACTTGGCAATACTTATGTGCTAGTTGAAGATTTTACTGTTGCTTTGCTCCTTCAGTGGCAGGAGAAGGGTCCATAGGAAAGGAAGATTCTGTTGATATAATTTCCAGTTCATGGGCCTCTCACAGTGATTCCATCCATTCCTTCTTTAGATGTTCCTTCTGTGTGGCCTGAATTCTTTAACCTTATTGTATAGTTGGAGTCCCACCTTAGAAGCCAAGGGGACTCCAGGTAAGGTGGCAGTGGGTGGAGCCCATCGCAGGGCTGCTACGCTTTGGGCCGTTAAGGGCTACGGAGGACATTGGGCCACTCTGTGTAGCCTGTGCATAGCTTGGTGTCTGCCTCGGGCATCTCACTGGAGAAGGTCTGCTCCTCCTGCTAAACAATGAGTTCCTGGCAGATCGGAAACGCCGTCCTAGAGCCCCAAATCCCTCTGCAGAGCAGGCCAGACAGAAGGTGGCTATGCCACCAGGGCTCTGACTGAGGGACAGAATCAAGCCGTTATGAGTACGTTATCTATGCAACAGGCCTCGGCTCTCAATATATCTGTGTCACTTCCTTCAGTGTTTGGGCAAAATACCTGATATCCACAACTTAAGGGAAGAGACGTTTATTTTGCTCAGATTTCAGTCTAAAGTTGGCTGGCTCCAACACAGGATGGCATGGCCAAGGAACCTGGTAGAGGACAGCTGCTCAGTGCCTGGTGGACAGGAAGCAGAGAGGAGGGAGGAACCAGATAGAAGATAAACCCTCCCAGGCCCCACCCCAGGACTGCCTCTACCAATCAGCAAGGCAGCACTAAGCCTCCATGATCCAGTCACCTTGAAAGCCCAGCCTATAAGCACAAGAAGCTTGGGGGGACATCTACATAGATAAGAGTACACAGGAAGCAGACATTGCTGGGACAGTGTCACCAGTAGAGTGGGCTGGTGGCAAGGCCGTGGCTGGAAGCCTCAAGTTTGCATTGGTTTTCAATTTTGAGCTGGGGTATGTGACCACATCTAACCCTGGGGACCCGTGGTTGTGTCCTTCCTCCTGCAGGCAGGGACAGGATGTTAGAGGAGGTGGCTTTGGTGCGGCTACCCCTGCTGTCAAACACCTGTGTCCTCTGGAGGGAAACTGGTCACTTTTCTCATGATCCCTGCTTCCTGCCAGCCACCCAGGTCCCTGCTGACCTGGCCCATACTGCAAAAGGATTTGGTTTAAGGGAATTTGTAACTGTTCAGTTGTCCTCAGCTGGGAAAGTAAGGTAGGGCCCATCCTGGGGGAGGAGGTGGCTGCGGGCACCACTGCCTGACGCCCAGAGCTCTGTTGGGTCAGTGCCAGAACCCAAGCAATACCAAGTGCAGCCCAGATGATACCAGCATTATTGGTTTTGTAGATGTCTAGCCTGGACCATTCAAAGTGTAGACACTTGTTTTCATTTCAAATAAAAATGAAAAAGATGATCGTTTGCATTTTGGAAAAGGACAGAGTTAGAGGTTCATCTGCCACGGCTGCTGGCTTGATAGGAGTGGCCGGAGCATTGAGGGATTACTGACAGCTCAGTCACCTGTACAATCCACCAGCACCACCCACACCCTGCATTTGTGACTAAAGCATTTGAGGAAGTATTGTTGGATTTACATTTTAGAATTGCTCGATAATGTAAAGCGATCCAAGGAAGCTGAACTATAGAAATCATTTTTGAAGATTCACTTTAGTAAAATGTCACTGCATCAGGCCATCTGTATCCTAGACTGTGGCCCAGGCCTTGGCTGGAAGGCTTTGTCCTGCCCTCGGGCTGCCGATGTGATCCATCCACAGACCTGGGGTGTGGTGATATCCACTTTTTTACACATCAGAATTCATTCATTTCAAAACAACACACTACTCTTCTTACTTATGCAGAGATTTCTCTCTATGTTTCTGCCTAGTCTCAAAAACAAACCAGTTTTAAAACAAACACAGGAGCCCCCGATGTGAATTATTTCATTTCTCCAGCTCTACACTCCTATTTTTAACAAAATTGTAAGAGAATCACGCACTTGAATCCAGCCACCCCCAAGAACCATGGGCAGTGACAGAGAGGCCACAGTGCCTGCATCGTGGTGCTGGCGTCCCTCTGTCCTGCTCCCACCCATGGGGCCCCAGGAATGTGTCACTCTGAGGCCTGGTGAAATCCTGCTATCCCTGGCCACCCTGTGCCACACAGTTCTGCCATTTAAATAAGGGCATGAGGACAGGACAGGAGAAGGACATGCCACACCTCGGGGGCCCTGTGCCCTCCAGGGAACAACTCCCTTCTGATAAAGCTGTGCTGAGACAGATTTATCTGTCTGCAAGTGGCTTGTTGCACTTTAGAGTCCTGTGTGCTCACACACGTGTGGGAGTATACTCAGCTGTCTGGTCCACACAAGGGAACCTGCAAGGAAACCATTTACCTGCGTGACCAGTTTTCTTCTGTCTTTGGCCAGAGACTGAGCCAAGAACAGGGTGGGCACTGTTGTCCTGGGGTGCAGTCATCACTGCCCCCAGAGGGCAGTGCCACTCCAAGCTCATGTCATCGGCACTGACCATCCCGTTCTGTGTCTCCTGCCTGTCAGAGCCCAGCTCTTCTTAGCCTTGCAGTCGAGTGTATTGCTTGGTTTTGTTCTGTTCCTCCTCTTCAGGGGAAAGTGCTGAGATTGGGCTCCAGACACAGGGCTACAGTCACCTGTGGGTGACACCCTGGGCACAGGGTCCAGCAGGAGGATCCATTGCACCCACAACTGCCTTCCATCAGGGTGACAGTGAATACTTTGCTGTGCAGCCAGGATGACCCTAAGCACACCTGGCACCGTGTATCTGCCCCCGCCCCAGGACTGACCCCACAGCTCCCAGGGAAGGGGAAAATCCCACCAAGGAGGGGTGAGGATACCTGGAGAGACATGGGCTTCAGGGGGTCATGCAACACCCTGCGGGAATTACCTAAAGGTAATTCCTCATACCTGGCCGCTCACTGAAATATCTGGCAGATGATCGTGTGACGTTAAGTGGGGGTGACACCATCCAAATGTGTTCTCATCCACACACTGAAGATGTTTAAATGGCTCTAAATATAGCCCTGTTCTAAGTGCAGTTAGCGAGGACAGCTGCTCATCAGGGGCACTGCTCTGCCGGCGGGAGGGGGCTGGTGAAGTAGGAGGGGGTACCCAAGCATGTGAGCTGGCTGGTGTGGAACTCTCACATGTGCCCTGAGCTGACCTCCACCCATGGGAGTGTGCAGTATCCTCCCTCTCGCCCCATGGCCCCTGTGACAATTGCAGGACAAGGGACATCTGGGTCACATGTCCAGACTGCACAGCCAGCGGGAATCGCACTGCCTGGAGCTCCAGCAGGCGGTCCCAGGTCCGCTGTGAGTCTGGGTCACCTGCCACAGCACACTGCGCCCCAGTTGCTGGCTCAGCCCCTTGGCGACAATGTCTGGCCCATGAGCGGTCTGTTGAGGTCCTCATCCCTGCACAGGCTAGCATCCCTCGGGCCGCAGCCAAGTCAGAGGCAGCCACGGTGCAGCTGGGGAGAGGAAAGGATGCATCCTCTCGGGGTTCCCAGCTCACTCCAACACAGCAGAAGGTTGGAAGGGGGAAGGAGCCGGGGCTCTTCGTGGTGAACCAGCCCCGCGTGTGCGTGGCCGAGCGTGGCAGGCGTGGGCCTGAGTCCCTGTCGCGTGTCTCCGCAGCCAAGCGGTACTGCAAGAATGCCAGCCCCAGCCCCAGCCCGAGCAGCAGCAGCTACGCGCCCAGCAGCAGCAGCAACCTGAGCTGCGGTGGTGGCAGCAGCAGCAGCAGCACCTGCAGCAAAAGCAGCTTCGACTACACACATGACATGGAGGCAGCGCACATGGCGGCCACAGCCATCCTCAACCTGTCCACACGCTGCCGAGAGATGCCGCAGAACCTGTCCACCAAGCCGCAGGACCTGTGCTCCACTCGGGTACGGCCCCCCGGGGTCAGGGCCACCTGCACACAGGGGAGGGAGGTGGGCCCCTTCAGCATGTGCCAGCTGTTCTCAGACTTGGCAGGCCCAGCAGCTCAGACTCCTGACAGGTGTGCCGCTGCCTGTGAGCATGGCAGGCGCAGGTTCCTCCTATGCCCACAGATGCAAGGATCCTTGTGTTCCCACCCCTGCAGCATGAGCTCTGAAGGCTCCTGTCACTTCCCAGAGGATGGTGTTTTCTAAAGCACAAGAAGCTGTCCTCTCCCTCACTGGGATCAAGTCATGACCCCAGACCAAGGACATCGTGTGCCTTGGTGGCATCTCAGATGAGCACAGAGAATATGAAAGACCAGTCTCCCTTGAATGGTTGACTGGGGAAAGGCTTTGCAAGATCCTGTTAACCCATGCTCCCCACAGATGACCCTGGGGACAGGGCACTGAGGGAGGACTGGTCAGACTCTATCTCCCCAATGGCCTCATGGTCACAGACCCGGGGTACAAGGCTTTTCTATGGTTTATTTCCTTATCCATCAATACCTTGTCTGTGCTAGAGCAGGACAAGTGGCTAAGCCTAACAGGGCAGAAAATCAAGATCGCTGCCTGGCCAGGGCCACTAGGTGGCTGGCATGAGCCACGCTCCCCAAGCCCGGCCGTGCTCTGCTCTCCGCACATGTCCAAGGCTCTCGGCTAAGCAAAGCGCCTCCCTCAGCTCCCAAGAGCTGTGGACCCTGCTCCATGAGCTCACAGCCCTGACCCTAGTGTTACAAATCTGTGTCATTGTGCAGGCACAGAAGGGTCAGTGATCTCACGTTTTGTCAATGCTTTCTTTTCTTTGGATAGTTGGATCCTTATGTAGTTTCAAAGCATTGGGAGCCAGCAGTGTTCTTGGTCAGGATTTGCATGGAAAAATTCTTCCCTGGCAGAGAAGACAGACAGGAAGCCCCATCAAAATTTTCCTTTCTTTCTTGAAATTAAACTCAAAGTAATAACTCCAACATCATGTGGCCTGAGAGGGTGTGCCGGCTGCACTCAGTAGAGAGCTTAGGCCGGGCACTCAGGAAAAGGTTTCTCAGAAGAAGCCCCAGGCTGGGATGCCTGTCCTCTGCCACCTGCTCCTCCTCCTCGTCCTCCTCCTCCTGCTCCTCCTCCTGCTGCTTCTGCTCCTCCTCCTCCTGCTCCTCCTCGTGCTCCTCCTGCTCCTCCTGCTCCTCTTCTCCTGCTCCCCCTGCTCCTCCTCATCTTCCTCTTCCGTCTCCTCCTCCTCCTGCTCCTGATCTTCCTCCTTCTACTCCTCTTCCTCCTCCTGCAGGCAGTGACACCTAGAAAGAAGTGCTGTATGACACAGGAACCCAGCAGTGTCACCCCAGCTCTGAGATCATATTTGGTGCACAGGAGGCCATTTGGACGCGAGGTGGAGGACGGCTGGGGACATCTGTAGTTTTCTTACTCTGTGTTCCTGTGTCCCCTTGCGTCCACTCATCCCCTCCTCAGGCAAGGCAAACTCTGCAGAACCCTGAGTCTCTTTATATGCAAAAAACAAAGTGCCTCACCCCGCAATTCCGGGTCTAAGAGTGGTGCAGACCCAAACCAGCAAAAGGGAGTGCAACTGGCCACAAGGCCTTTGGACTACAGTCATATCTCTTCTCATCACAGGATTATAAAGAAAATTCCACTTCCTTCCCCTGCTCAAGGTCTTCCTTCTTTTCATTTCTTGAAATAGCACCATTCGTAAATCTAAAGGAAAAACTTTAAGCTGACACATAGACAAGTATACACACGCACACATGTATTTTTTATCTCATAGGCATCTGAACTACAGTGAAATCAAAACTCAGCCTGGTGGCGCACACTTGTCATCCCAGCTCTCTGGGAGACTGAGGCAGGGGGATGGAAATCTCTAACCCAGTTAGGCAACTTAGTGACTTCATGAGACTCCAGTCCCAAAGCAAAAAACAAAACAAAAAAGGCTGAGGACATAGCTCAGTGTGAAAGCTCTGGGTTTTAATCCCTAACCTGCAGGGGGGTGGAAATAGCATTTCTTTAAATTTCTTCTGGCCAAGCTCATTTCTAAACCATAGATGTACTGAGGGGGCAAAGGAGAAAGAAAAGGAGAGAACTTAAGAGATGGCAGAGGAGCGGGTGGACAGAGGGAGGTGATCCTCGAGCCAGGAAGCTGGAGGCAGCACATGCCCCTGACACATGGGTTCCCCTAAGGGTCATGTCAGGGACCCTGGCTGATCACAGCAGGCAGCAACTGAGTGACTCACAGCCAGATCAGCCAAGCCCATGAGCCACCCTTCTGCCCACAGAACCCTGACATGGAGGTGGATGAGAATGGCACCCTGGACCTCAGCATGAACAAGCAGAGGCCTCGGGACAGCTGCTGCCCCGTCCTGACGCCCCTGGAGCCCATGTCCCCCCAGCAACAGGCGGTGATGAGCAGCAGGTGTTTCCAGTTAAGTGAGGGAGACTGCTGGGACCTGCCGGTGGACTACACCAAGATGAAGCCCCGGCGGGTGGACGAGGATGACCCCAAAGAGATCACGGTACGTCCTTCTCTGACACACCCTGCACTCACTGCGAGTCATAAGAGGAAGCCTGCAAATGCAGTCTGCTGGAGGCAGTGGCACATATGCCTGTAACCCCAGCAACTAAAGAGGCTGAGGCAGGAAGGTCTAGACTAGCTTAGGCATTTAGTGAGACCCTGTCTCCAAAAACAAAAAAAAAGTAAAAGAAAACATCTGCATACCCCTCAGGGAATAATGCAAGATGTGATGAAAAACTAGGGTGATTGTTTACATCAAAAAATGTATTACAGTAAAAGCCACGTTGCTATGAATCTCCTCCCCAGCCCCTTACCACTTCCTGCAGCAGCTCTGGAGTCCTCTTTCCTGAGGGTTTTGGCTACCTCAAGTGTCCTGAATGGATTCAAAACATTTCCCTTTGTGGTCATTGTGACTTTGAGGAAGAGCCAAAGTCACACAGTACCAGAGCCAGTGAGTACGATGAATGAGGACACAGTGTGCTGTGCTTCCGAGCTGCCTTTCTGGATGGCACTGGGCAGCAGCAGTCACTGTATTTGTGATCACACCTGCTAAAGACCCTCGGGAAAGAGGCCTCCAGAGCCGCTGCAGAAACCAGCCAGGGTGAAGGAATGAGTACATTCAAAGTGAGGGGTGAGCTTTTAAAGCACATTAACTACTGCAACCATCTTTTTAATTTAAATTTGCGTCACACAATTGATCACCCTTATGGATTTCTTCTTTAAACATGACCTTTAGCTAATTGGGACTTAAATAAGGGAGGGAAAAAAAAAACACTTTTTGTTGACCCAGAAGAGATGTGTGATGACACTGATTTGAGTGATACAACCTAGTAACTCAAATTTTATTTTACAACCCGTGTTTGGTTACAAATGATTTCACTACTAAAAAAATGTATAAACAGCAAGTCAGTTCCTTTCCAAATAAAAGTGTACCCTTTGCTGGTATCAAGTTACAATGAGAGTAGCAAATACTTAGATGGTCACCTATGTGCTTTTGGAAACCAATAGCAGCTCTCTTCTCTAAGAAATAAAAGAGCCAGAAAAACAAGACACAGTGCTAAGGTTCAAATTTCCGAAGTCAGACCCTTAAAATAGATATATTTCTCCTTAGACTAAAAAGTATGAAATGGAGAATTCTCTTTTCTTTCCAGGAGTGACTTCTTCAGTATTCAAATCCAAAAATTATGACATCTTTTTTTTCCACTAGAAGGTGGGAAATTTTGAGGGGAATTATTAGACAACCATCAAAGCTACAGAGGTGACAGAAACCAGGAGCAGGGAACGAGCTGGTAGTTCTATGGAGGAAGCTACAGGGCCAGCACCTGAGTACCTAAGGGGCTGCTATCTCTGTTCTTCAAACTGATTTAAATAGCTAGGTATCGCATTAACATAAAAACATCTGCATGGCTTGCTAAATTTCTAAGTATTTTTTTGTCTCCTGCAGTGTTAGAATCATTACTGCCAAACGAGAGCATGGCAGTTGAATTCCCAAATTTATTTTAATTAAAGTCCAGAGACAGAAGTATTCCCATAGGAATATCCAGGTTGCTACAACTAGACGTGACCCAGAACAGTGTCTGTCCCCCACTCTGCTCAGTAACAAGGGCGCTGTCTAAGAGTCATTTAAAATTACAACTTGAACACAGTTGTTCTTCTGCAGCTTTGAGACTTAGAGTATGTATATATAAAATATTTACCAGTGACGGGTGAAGTCTGTATTCTGAAATAGATTCAGGAGTGTGCTGGTCCGTCCAGAGCAATGTTAAACCCAGGTCTCAGCAGAAGTGTCTAGTGACCAGGCTGTCCCCTCAGTCCTGTTGCTCCTGGCCATCAGCCGGAGGGCAGTTGATTGACAAACCAGCCCTCGTTTCCAGCAGAGGACTCGCTAGGACAGAGAGGCCACGAGGCTCTCCAAGCATGGTGTGAGAGGCAGGTGCAGACAAGACCACCCGGCGTGCATGTCGCCCTGTATGGTTCTGAAGCTGTGCTTTGTCTGCAGCCGGAAGACCTGGACCCCTTCCAGGAGGCTCTGGAAGAGAGAAGGTACCCCGGGGAGGTGACCATCCCGAGCCCCAAACCCAAGTACCCCCAGTGCAAGGACAGCAAAAAGGATTTAATAACGTAAGCATCCCAGGAGGCGCCACCACGAGTCGCCTCCACCCTCCCTCTCCTTGGCTTCCCGTGAGCCCAATCGATGGCTGTGTCGCGCCTTGCCGGGTGAGCATGCACTTTGAAGGCCCGCACCCCTCTCCGGCCGCTGGTTGAGTAGAGCGAGAGGCCGAGGCCACCTGCTTGTCCGCAGTGGTGCGGGGTCGCAGGGAGGCACCGTTCCATCCAACCTGTGCACTCGCAGCTTCGCCTCGGGGGGCCTGGCCCTCATGCAGACATTGCAGCTAAACTGGAAACAATGAACCTTTTTAAGTTTAAAAAAAAATACTTACTATTTGGCTGTTTTTTTGTTTTTGTTTTTGTTTGGTGGCAGATGTCCAACTCCGGGGTGTGATGGGAGTGGTCATGTGACTGGTAATTACGCCTCACACAGAAGGTGTGACTTTATTTTTTTTTTCATGGTGGATTCTGTCTTTTCAATTTATTGTTTTCAGCTTACCTCAACAATGCCGTCCAAGTAACAATGTTGAATTCTGTGTCAACCTGCTAAGTGCTCTGTGCATGCCAACTGACGTGTTGTATAATGTCTTTTAACCTCCAGCTTTCCAAATTCGCACTTAAACCAAAGAGCACAAATACCTTATTATGAACAGAGTTGTCATCCTGAATCCATATTTGAACATAGTTAGAGTTCATTGTAAGAAAAAAATTCAGTATACAGCACTGGCACCATCGCTTTTCTGCATTGACCGCTTTTCATTTAAATTCGGTTTTCTGTGGTGTTCGTCCGGGGGGCTCTGCTACCTCGAGGGTCACTCACCTGCCTCTCCTGGCCTGTCTTACAGTCTGTCTGGCTGCCCATTGGCTGATAAAAGCATTCGAAGTATGTTGGCCACCAGCTCACAAGAACTCAAGTAAGCGTTCGTGACAATCATTCTCTTTCTAAAAAGTCTGTGTACTTGTTAGTTTATAATAAGAAATGATGCGTCATTGGGAAAGTCTTTGAAAGAATCACCTGTGACATCAGTGCCCTATTTTAGTTCAAAGGACCAAGGCCTTCCGTTTCTAGACAGTGCAGTCTGCCTTCTACCCTATCGTGCATCTCTAGTCCTCTAGAACCTTCTGAGGCACAGGGATTTTCCTCAGATGCATGTGCAGCTTCCAGAGAAAGTTCAGAGGAACCCCAACTCTTAGCCAATGATTGCAATTTAAGAAATCCAAACTAAGCTTTTAAGTCAGAAATTAGTATACTTACTTAAAATATGGATACTTAACAACACTTAAGATAATAGCTAACTCATTGTGTACACGGTGGTAACCAGCTGTACACACACATACATGCACATACACACACACATCTTTCTAGTAGTTGTGTCTCTCTCCTCTGTCACTTTTAAGTACAATCTAACAAAATGGTGAAAACACCATCATCCACACCCCAGGGCCAAGTTTCCCTCCTCTGCATGTCTCTGTGTCATATCCAGGCTCTGCACAAGTTTGGGAAATAGTTTGAGGTTATGAGAAGTATACTAATACCACCATCACTCTAGTTAGAGCAGAGATACTCAAATGTTTGTAAGGAATGAGGATGAGATGCGACAGTTTCATGGCATCCTGAGAACCAGGAGTTCCCCCAAATAATTGTCTCTTTGTCTGACATATCCTATCATGATGCCACATTGCTGCATTTTCATCTTGTTTGGAAAGGGTCTTAGTACCCACACAAGGAAAAAGCTATTTTCAAATCCATTTCGATTCCTCTCCCGACCCTCCGTGACTTTAGACGGAGGGTACCTCTGGGTCAGGATTTTGCTTCACACCTTGTCATCTTTTGCAGGATCCCTGTCCAAGGCCCTAGTGCCATAGACCATCTGTTCATGTTCAGTGACTTCCTGAACTAGCCCCTCCGTCACCAGCCCTCGGGTTTTCTCTTCCTGGACTCTAACCAGCTGGAGGGCTCGCTCTCTGCGCAGTGTGTAGCAGCATCGTCCAAAGCACTGCCTGGTGGACACATATCTTTAGACTCTCAGAATGGACAGCTAGAACAATTCCACACACTTTCCTCCAGGCATCTTTTAATCACGGCTCCCATCCACATTTCCCTCCCGGTCAAACGTGACTAACTACACTTGGAATGTGTCCAGCACATCTGAATATGGCAGCATGCCTTCGAATCTCTTGATGAGGAATACTTTGCAAAAGCTTGGCGTGTCTCCAGTTCCAACAGGCCAGCTGCACATAAGAAAATAGCCCTTGTGCCACTTGCATCTAGCATTGCTTCTACTGCTTAGTGTCTCCAAAGTCCCATGACCAGAGCATTTTTCCTTATTGTTCCGTTTTCATTGTGTGCATCCTTTAGCGTTTCGCTCGGAAGTTTATGTTGTTGGTCTGAAATCTCAAGCAGACCTGCTAATTCTCCGGTTCCTGCACTTTCTTGTGAGTGATGCACTTTCTTGGGAGATGAGGTGATGGCTCCCTACCATGATCATCTTCAGAGAGAGGTATGTCTCTCTCTCTCTCTCATATCCTCCCAGGAAATGTGAGACTCATCAGCACCCTCCTCGCTGCCTCTTCCTGGAGGTGGACGGCATCATCCAGAGGCCAGATGGCCTTTGCCTACCATTGGTTGAGCTCAGAGACACGCACATTTCTAAACTCGTCTTTGTAAATAAGTTCTGTTCTGCTTGACCCTGTCTGGGAAATCCAAACTGGACAAATTTCTCACAACGATCTATTTATTTCTATTCATGGATCTTTAAAGCCAAGGATTCCCATTAACTCTCTTCCATAAAGAGATGACTATGTAAATGACCAGTTTTTACTTGATGGCTATGTCTTTAACCTGAGGAAACCATGGACCGGACTGATTTTTTCCTTTAACATTTTAATTGTGGACCTGCATTTAGTACTTTGCTGAACAATTCAGAAGGGGATGTTGGGTGGTTTTCCCAGGCAAAGGAGAGTGGGCCAACCCCTTTAGAATCTGCATTACTCTCCTTTGGAGTCACGCATGCCTGAGCCCTTTCCGATGTGCATTCTTCACCCACCCCCTTTAAAAGCTTCTGTGGCTTCCTACAGTGCCCTTTGACCTATGTGACAAAGTTCACTGTTCACTGTACAAAGCAACACCCACTAATTATTCATAAAGACAGATGAGGAAAGGGGTTCCAGTTACCTCAAAATTTTTCTCAATTACAGGTCATCCAAAACAAATACTTTTTTGGAAATTTTCCTCTTCTCACATCGAACACCGAAGTTTTGTGTTTGGCCATTATTGCAGCATTCTTGACCAGGGACAAGATGAATTTTGCCAGATAAACCCTAGGTCCTGGGTCTTCTTTGGCTTCCTTGAAGTAACACTTTGTTTGGTTATAATCCCAGAGTGAGAGTTGGCTTTAAAAGAAATCAGTAATTTTTGTGTCTAGTCGTGTACAATCTGTAAACTTGAAAATGTATTAAAATGTAATGTACACATGCATTTTATTCCAAATCTGGACCTCTGCTTTCCCTGAACCCATGGTCTCACACATCCCTCCCCCCCAATGCTGACACATGGTCAGAGGCTTAGAGGGAAGGAGCAACTGACTATGGAGGGTGATGGGGCTTGAGGGAAATCAAGTCAGGGCCCAGGGCACAGGCAGGTGGAGCCTGGGATGTGCACAAGTGTCACTAGCCAACCTCCCCAGGGAGACATAAGGAGTCCACACTGGGGCCACAGGCCAAATACTGAGCAAGAAAGAGCCAGAGTGTACAAATCAAATTGGATTTCTGGCAGGAACTATGCCAAACATAAGCTCTGATTCCAAGGGGAAGTGGCTCCTCATAAGATGTCCTTTTCTAAGATTCCCTGAAGGAAGTGAGGTGGACAGAATCAGAAACCACTGCCCTGCGGGGCCGGTCTCTGCAGAGCTTGGGAGCTCCTCCACCCGCCTCCTAGGCAGCCAGAGTCGCAGATGCCGCTGGTGGTGCTCGGGCACTGGTTTAAGTCAGCACGTTTGGATCTGGATCAGAGGCAATCAGCCCTCAGAAGGACACCCAGAGAGGCTGCCATCTACACTCTGACTGGCCGGATTTAGATGCCTTCTTCATATGCCTGCCTATATCTCGGGGTACCCCAGGGCCTTTGTTAGCATCTCCCCACAGCAAACGGTTTCAGGCCACTGACTCCTCTTGGCCTTTGACTTAATCATTGTGGACATGGGAGACCCTGCTTCCAGCCTTTGAATGTCTTCTTGTGGATTCTGAAGCCCTCAGCACACATCCTGGGTATTTTGAGCTTAGGCATACTGAAATTTTAGCCACGTATATCATAAAGCTTTTTTTTTAACCCGATTACATTTATTTTTCAAATAAACTAGAAATCAAAGAATTAGAACTTTGAATTTGGGTCAAAATATTAGACTGCCTATTGCTAGACTGTCCCCAGGCTTAGGTGCTCAGCTGAAAATCTGACACATATGCCAGGGGAGAATTGGCCGGGACCCAATAGATGCTGCTCACCCCACAGTGACACCTCCCAGAGAGCAGAGGTGTATACATAGGGGCCCTCTCCAGAATGAGCCTCATTTCTGTCATCTTTTGCTTTCTCCATTTACAACAGTAAGTCCACAGCACTTTGTGAATTACAATTGCCCTAACTCAGGTCCGTTACCATCGACAGCTGGATCCCCTAAGGGGAAGGTCAGCGCTGTAGCTGTTAGACCAAGCCTCTTTGTCATCATGAGACCCCCACCTCCACCCTCACTTCAAATATTGCCCCCTCACCCTCCCTTGGGTTAGAAAAATCATGATTCCTTGCGCTGACCCAGGTCCCTGCTGGTGTGGTCTCCTGAGCAGGGAGCTGTGTCTGGGTAGGGATGCCCAGTGGTCCCAGCCCTGTCTCCTCCTGCCACTGAGACTCTGGCTGGCAGCCAATGCCTCCCTTATCTGGAGCTTGGGTATCACCAGTGTGAAACGAGGTGCTGGAGAGGCCCAGGAAAACTGAGGCATAGGGAGGTGGCTGCTACTATATATAGTCAGGAGTACAGACAGTAAGTAGCTAAATCTCCCGCATACAAGGCCGCCTTCTCCAGCCACCCCTGAGGCTGTCAGCTCTCCATCAGGAATCAGAGTCTATGTCAAGTATGGCTGTAGACACACACAAACTTTTGCAGGCACACATATACCCCAGCACATGCATGTACACACATGAACACAATGATTGTGCACACACTTATCCACATATACACCACCGCACACAAATGTAAGCATGCTCCTGCACACACACATGCATAGATGTATGCACACCAGTGCACCAGTGCCAGCACACATTTGTGCACACACCAGCACACACACCAACAGACTCTCATATACACATATGCATAGACACACATGCATACATTCACACACACACACACCAGCATGCTAACAAACTCATTCATGCACACACTTGTTCATACATGCACACACACGTGCACACACTCATGCACATGCATGTTTGGTCTCACACATTTTTCTCGTCAGCACACAGGGAGTTAAACTGGAACATCTGGATATTATGTCCCATCATCACACCCAGAGTGGAAATCTCCACATTCATTTCTCAAAATCACATGAATGCCTTTGGTACTTGCTCCTGCAGGCACCTCATTCTACCATTTCTATTTTAACATCTAGACAAGGTTGTAAAGCTTGCACTTCAGCCTGGCACACACCTGTAATCCCAGCGCTCAGGAAGCTAAAGCAGGAGGATCACTGTGAGTTCGAGGCCAGCCTGAGCTATAAAGTGAGCTCAAGGCTGAACTGCATAGCAAGACCTTGTCTCAAAAAGAAAAAAAAAGTTGGGACTTTAGCATTTTTTAAAACATTCTACAAAATACAGCTATGGCAAGTAGTCTTTTATTTTTCATTGTAAAGACACAGCCAACTTAAGCTC